CGCCACTTCCGGTTTTCTGGTGGTTTATTGGAGATAGGAGTCTCACGGTCTCTCCTGCCCGGGCTGGCTTTGAACCGCGATCCTCAGATCTCAGCCTCCTTAGTAGCTAGGATTACAGGCATGAGCCACCAGCGCCCGGCAGGAATGTTTTGAACAGCTCAAATATCTGAAAATGATTTTCTGCTACTGTTCTGTGAAGTATAGTTTGGTTGGATCTAAAATGATAATGGCCTAATTGTTCTTCGGATATTCCTTCAAATGGTCCATTGTCCTTTAGTTGTCAGATTTGTGGAGAAGAAATTTCATATCAGTTTTATAATTCTAGGGTTTTCACTTTTTTGTTGTTTGTTTGTTCAAGCCCCAAGACTGGGGTTTGAACTCAGGGCCTGAGCACAGTCCCTGGGCTTTGTTGCTCATGACTAGTGCTTTAACACTTGAGCCACAGCTCCTCTTCTGTCTTTTGATGGTTAAAGAGTTTAATGGACTTTCCTTCCTGGGCTGGCTTTGAACCATGATCCTCAGATCTCAGCCTCCTGAGTAGTTAGGATTATAACCATGAGCCACCAGCTCCAGCTGCAAAGGTTGTTTTTAGTTTGAAAGATTCACATAAATTGGATGTTTAGAGGCTGAACTTTGCTTTCAACAACATAGAGATTGGGATTTGGAAGTTGGCTCAGTGGTAGAGTGCTTGCCTTGCATGCATGAGGCCCTGGGTTCAATTCCTCAGCACCACATAAGAAGAACAAAGCTGGAAGTGGCACTGTGGTTCAAGTGGTAGGGCACTAGCCTTGAGTTGAAGAGCTGAAGGACAGCGCCCAGGCCCAGAGTTCAGCCCCCACAACCGACCTAACTCCCCCGCCCCAAACAAACCAAAAAACACAAATAAATATAGAGATTTTAGCCGGGTGTTGGTGGTCATCCGTGTCCAGTTTTAAGTGTTTATTTCTAAAATATGAATTCTGGGCTTTTGACTAACGGTGTGTTGCTTCCCAATGCAGAGATCAACTGTGGCCATCCTCCAGAAGTGCAGAACGCCATGTTGGTGGGGAATCACAGCTCCGGCCTGGGTGGTGTGGCTTACTATGTCTGTCAAGAGGGCTTTGAGAACACTGGAGGAGAGATCACTTCTGTTTGCACGGAGAAAGGCACCTGGAGAGAAAGCACTTTAACATGCACAGGTACAGATTGCATTCTGCTGGGCTCCTGTTTCCTAGGAACAAAACAGCCAGTGTGAGCTCTGACCATCAAACCATCAGCAGGAGGCCTCCCTCTGTGTTCTGTGCCTGGCCCTGCATTTCCTGGGTGGGCAATTAGCTTGATTTTTGTCAGCTAAATCCTCAAGATTTAGAAAGTGGATTAGAGAAACAAGTTGGATAGAAAATTTTATGTAGCCATCTTTTGGAACACCTTAATACATAAGGATTGCTATTTTATCTTGGTTGGCTGAGAAATTTTTTTCATGAACCATTTTCTCAGAGGAGTATACTCCTAACTTGGCATATGCTCATATTGCAGCTTTGGAGATAAAAGCTGATGTAACAGAAGGGGTTTTATTATTATTATTATTTGCCAGTCCAGGGGTTTGAACTCAGGGCCTGGGCACTATCCCGGAGTTTCCTTTTTGCTCAAGGCTAGCACTCTACCACTTGAGCCACAGTGCCACTTCCAACCTTTTCTGTTTATGTGGTACTGAGAATCGAACCTGGGGCTTCATGTATGCTAGACAAGCATTCTACTACTAAGCCACATATCCAGCCCTAGAAGGGGATTTAAATGTTTATTTTCAAAATTAGCTGAGGGCTGGTAGCTCACTCCTGTAATCCTAATGTTTAAGGAGGTTGAGCCCTGAGGAGTTGCGTGTTGGAAGCTAGCATGGGCAGGAAAGTCTGTGAGACTCTTATCTGCTATTACCAACCAAAAAGCCAAAAGTGGAGCTGTGGCTCAAGTAGTAGAATGCTAGCCTTGAGCCAAAAAGCTCAGAACAAAGTTCAGGCTCTTAAGTTCACACACACACAAAACTTATGTTAAAACACAAAGCAAAGCGGGGCGATGGTGGCTCATATCTGTAATTCTAGCTACTCAGGAGGCTGAGATCTGAGGATCATGATTCAAAGCCAGCTTGGGCAGAAAAGTCTGTGAGACTCTTATTGCAATAAACCACCAGAAAACCAGAAGTGGCGCTGTGACTCAAGTGGTAGGGAGCTAGCCTTGAACTGAAGAGCTGAGGGACGGTGCCCAGGCCCAGAGTTCAAGCCCCACGACCGACCAAAAACACAAAACAAAAACAAAAAACCCACAAAACAAATTAAAGCACCAATGTAACTATTTGTAAGTGTGTAATTCATAGCACTATGTACAGTCTCATCATTGTACAACTTTTTATCTTTAAAAACAAATTCTGTACCCATTAAATTATTCCCCATTCTCCTTTCCCACTGCCTCTGACATGTTATTATTCTAATTTTGTTTCTTATGAAATTGACTACTCTTGGTAGTTTATATAAAAAAAAGTTGGGTTTTCTTCTCAAGACTTGCTTATTCCACTTAGCATACACCTTTCACTCTCTTTTTATGACTGGAGTTTGAACCTAATGGCTTCGCTAGGCAGGTACTCTACCACTTAAGCCATACCTCACACTCTTTTTTTGCTTTAGATGGTTTTAAGATCAAATCTTGCTTTTATTCCTGGGCCTCCCTGAAGTGTGAGCCTTATATTCAGACTTGTTAGCGGGGGACAACAGTCACATGCCACCATGCCCATCTTTTCTGTTGAGATGGGGGTCGGGGAGCAATTTCATGAACTTTTGGCCCAGATTGATCTTGAACTGTCATTTGCTCAATCTCAGCCTCCTAAGTAGCTAAGATTACAGGCAGGAGTCACCACACCTGGCTCACTCAGCATATTATCTTCAAGGCTCATCCATAATGTGTCAGGGATCTTTGGCAAGGTGGAAAAGTTTCCGTGTGTGTGTGTGTGTGTGTGTGTGTGTGTGTGTGTGTATGTGTGTGTGTATGCATCTGCATCTGCTCATCCATCAATGGACACCTCAGTTGCTCTCATTTTTTGGCTATTGTGTACAATGTTACCATGGAATCTGGGTGTACAAATATCTCTTTGAGACCCTGCTTTCAATTCTTTTAAATATATACCTGGAAGTGAAAAGTTTTGCGATCCACTCATGTTCTATCAGTGCCATATATAAGACATGTATCATTAGGTAAGGCATTATGACCATTGGTCTCCTTGTCTGTTCAAAGGTGGAAATAAAGTCTGCCTTTCCTTTATCAAAACGTTTTTGGAGAGGAAGTCAGTTGAGCTCATGTATGGGGAGGATTTTGAAAAGTTTAAAGCGGCATGCACTGCAGTGCTTTTCTTAAATTGTTAGTCTCCCATGAAGATCTTTTCATGAAGCAGAGGAGCGCACTTCCATGTGCTGTCCTTCCCTCCAAGCCATATGTGGGAACAGGCAACAATTCCTGACAATTTGTGACACTTGGCCAGGGAGTGTGACAATGCTTGTCACATAGTCTTCTATGGCTCTGAGAATCTATTTCTGCATGCTTATTTGCTTCGCTCTGAAGTTAGCCCTCAAGAGTAAAAATCTCAAGGACAGCATTGGCCTGGATCTCTGGATTGATTAGCAAGCAGAATTGTGGCAGAATACCTTGAATCTGACTAAAGTTTCCCATAGGAAAAGTCTAGCCAGCACAATCACTTCTGCTGTTTATTTATTTACCAAGCAATGATTCCTAGCCATTTTGGCGCTAGGACCTTAGTGAAATCCACCCATTTATTCACTAGATACTTGGCTAATATGCACTGTGTGAGGTAGTTTGTAAGGCACCTCTTCTTCTTCTTTTTTTTCTTTTTGTCGGTCATGGGGCTTGAACTCTGGGCCTGGGCGCTGTCCCTCAGCTCTTCAGCTCAAGGCTAGCGCTCTACCACTTGAGCCACAGTGCCACTTCCATAGGCACCTCTTCTTAAAAACAGATGTTTCCCCCAAAGAAATGCACATGCACATGAACATGTACTGTTTTGCAAAGAAGTTCAGGGAATTAATGATGCTCTGAAGTGCGTGAATAAAGACAGCATCCTTGGGGATAGATGGAAAACCCAGCTTTTCTGCCGAGGCCCCGTCTATACCATGCAATTCCTATGTTCGCTTGTCACCAGTTTCAGAAGCAAAAACAATGAGACTTCAGATGTAGTTCAGCCTTGCTTTAGAGAGGTCTCATTGACTTGCAGAGTAGCAAGAGCAAACCTTTAATGAGCAAGGACTTCAGGATCCCAGTTTTACTAACAGGAAATTGAGATGAGCTGACACCTTAGTGGACCAGGCTGATGCTTACATCAACCTATGAGGACATCTCTATAAGTACTTCCAAGTGTGACTTGGAGAAGTTGAGGCCTGTGTCTCTGGGAAGAATTCCCCATGGTGTGATTTGGTAAGAGCTGGGTATAGTTGTGGACCCTCAGCTTTTTGATCCCTTGCTCCAGCTTTTCTGCCTCCATCATTCAGAAATCAGTGGGGGCACAAGGATTAGTCACTCCATGAGAAACCAGTGGATCTGCATGGGGCATAGTAAGCTATTAATTAGCTGATCCTTGTAGAGCACTTTGAAGAACAAACATGTTATGTAACTGCTAATTACAATTACCGTCCTCAGCCGCCACCTTCCACAGAGCGTGTGGTTCCAGCTGCAGCTGCTTCCACAGGCTTAGATTTAGAGAAAGAAAAGACATTTTCCCTGTGAGCTGGGATCTTTCTCTGAGGAGGCCTCTGTGCCCTCACTCAGGATTGGCAGCTAAATTCAATTTCCGTTGATAAAGGGGTGATTTGCATGCTGATTAATTCATGGTGCCGGGCAGATGATCTAGGGATGTGGTGGGGGAGGTAGGAGAGGCTTCTGGAGATGTAGGGAGAGATACTGATTCCTGGGGCTCTTCCTCAGCTGCCCCCCTCTCCCTCCTTTTCCATGTGGTTGTCCCCCAGGTCCCCTCTTTACCCACAATCCCCGGTCCCTCAGTGTTTCTAGTTGCCTTCCTCAGTGTTTGCTTTTGGCCTTCTCTCTCTTCCTCTTCATTACCTCCTGTCTCTAATTTCATTGTTTATCCCACTTTCTAGACTTCCATGTTTAGTTCCAAACTGGGTTTTGCAATCTTTATCTGGACTGATTTTAATTACCTTAAACACATGTTTTTGGAGCCCCACAGGTCTGTAACATATTTTTTTTAGAGTGTGAGCTTTTTTTTTTTTTTTTTTTTCTTGAAGGCCAGTTCGTACTGGAAACTCCAGACAGCTGGGAATTAGGCAACTGCTTTAGTGTCTGGAAAAACCCCAGGTGGAAGCTTGATGTTAGTGAGTTGGTTTACCTCAAGATCAAAGAGCTGATTCATTCTCGATAAGGCTGGCCCTGGCTTCCATTCTGCACAGGTCATTTGGCTTTTCATGTTTAGAGTCTGAGTTAATAATTATACGGTTGCTCACTCCTTGCTCTGAGAAGGGTCACTTCTCTATTGGAGCAGACGGTTTCTCTGTCAGCCATGCTTTCCACACCCTTCCCTGCCCTGGGCACTGTTGCTAGGGCTCCCTCTTCTCCAGCTCACTGAGCGCTCACTCGCGGCCCCACACATTTCCAATGGAAAAGAAAGGTCAAGTGGAATAAATCGGCACATTTATGCAAATAACCCCACGATTGGGTTGTGTCTGAGTCTGTGTATGAAGTGTGGACCAGCAAGCTTTATTGCTATTGCTGACAGAGCATCAGCCTCCACACCCAAGGCTCTCCTCGGAGCCTTAATGATTGATTGTGTTTCATCCTCAGGCAAACCCTGTGAAATATCATTTTCATTTTGCAGATGAGTAATTTCAGATTTAAAAAGGTTAGGCCACCTTCTCAGTGTCATCAGTGACTAAGAAGTGATAGAGTTACGATGTGAACTCAGGTCTAGAAGCCCTGAACATCCATACTCTCTCTCCTTCCATCTGATCTCTCAAAATTCAATGATTTGCCTACTGTCCTGATAATGTTTGCTATAGCAAGAGTATTATTTAACATATTTCTTAACACACACATATACACCCCAATTAAGCACCAAAAAAGCCAAAAGTGGGGCTGTGGCTCAAGTGATAGATTAGTAGTCGAGCAAAAGAAGTTCAGGGACAGAACCAGTAGC